GGAATATCTGTTCTCGTGTTTGACTCGACATCTCACTCGTTCACTGCGCTCACTCGCGAGCTACCAATTTAAACAGCCGAATTGAAATTCCATATCTACGCGTGCCATGTATTATTCTCTCCATTTATGATGATAATAATTATAATAGTAAAAAATCGATGTAATGAATAGTCTCCTTATACGACTATCTCTATGTGTCGCAATCATGGCTCGAATCTTTCTGCTTCAACAATTAAACTCAAGGATGGCACAAAAAGCCAAAATCATTTCGCTTGATTGAAGTGGGTGGTACCTCAAATTCATCTCATGAATGAATCTGCTTCATTAATGGCAGGCTCAATGACCACAACGCTATGTGCTTTTTAATGAGCGCCGCAGGTCAAGTGAAAATTATGAAATTTTTTATAAAAACTCGAGGCCTTTGTTTTAATGCTCAAATATACGGGTATTTCCCATTCTCCGAGTAGGTGAATGGATGACGTTTATAGAGAGGAAGCAATGGTTTCACATCTAATAGTCCGTCGCTAATTCTCGTTTTGTCGTTTTCCTCTTCCTCTTTGACATAACAATTGTCATCATTCACACCGACAGAGTAAAATGTAAATTCCTTTTTTTGTAACTTTTTCTATTATCGTTGTCATTATTATTTTTTCCATCACGTATCAACAATATCTTTCTCTTGTCGGTGAAATGATAAGCATTGTGACAACATCATTCGCCGCCTAGGTAATTGCAAGTCTCTCAAGGAGTTCTATATTTGTAAGAAGCTAATTAAATAGTTTGAGGAAGAGTTAAGATTCTAAAAGGCGTATTTGTTTCAAATCGTCGAGGTAAAAATATTTTTTTGGTCTTTCATTTAGGGGTGCCAACAAAAAAGGAAAAAATATGATGATTAGATGGAGGTTTAACCCGAAAACTTCCCCGGGCAAACATGATAAAATATTCATTAGAAATTTTGCTCTTTACGAAGGTAAAACGTGCTCAACCTGATGTCAGTTCGTTATGCAAACTGGGATATTCGGCTCAGTTTTCAATAACGGCGCCAACTGAGTTAAACACTCTTTGTTTTACTTCAACCCTCATTCATTACACATCTGTCGGAGGCGATGTCATCAACACAAAATCAGCTGCAATTAACAAAAGTGTACCTAACTTACAAATGAATTTGAATTTTGAAACCTACCTGAAAAATATTACGAAAATCTATGACTTGTCTTCCGTTATTCTATATTAAGAAAATAGAAAAATTAAATACTATTACGCTGGTGTCAAGGGGAGGGTAAGTAGAGGAAAATGCTTTGGGCGACAAAAATGTCGGTTCTTCTATAATTAACTCTACTTTAAGCAATTGTTCACTAAACCGCCACCTGCTGCTGCCCTTGGGTTTCCATGACACTTTCCTAATGAAAAAAATAAGTATTTATGTCATGTTCTCGCATTGTCGTAATTCATCAAGTAAATACGGACCCACATAGTAAATTTAGTGCCATCAAACTCGAGGAATTAAGTGTTAAAACTCACGCCGAGCTTGTCACCGCCTTCTTCTTTGCTCTTTCAAGATTTGGCCTCTGGATATAGGCTCTACCTAAAGCCACCGGACGAGACGGTGATCTTAAAGACACAAAAAGGCCGAATTCATGTTTGAAGGTTCAAAGGGATCTCTGGCCAAAATTTTCTGGAAGATTCTCTTCCTTGCACCAATGATTGGTGAGTATGAAAAAGCAGCATGGTAACCTTCTGAGTTGCTTACTTTAAGAAAACTTGATGTATTAAGAAGGCCATTGGAGCCATGATGCACTACGCATTTTATTTTATATTTCACTGGTTTTTGGGTAGAGTTCTTTATTTCCTCAATCTTTTTACTTATTCATCTATTCATTTTGATATTCAATTACCGTAAAAGAAAGCCGTGGATGCTGTTGCTCACGATGAAGAACTTAATACTGCAACATTTTTCATGGTTACATGACCGAGTTAACCATGTCGCTTTACATGTTGTCGAAACCGAAACTCTACCAAATATTTACTTTAATGAGAAGGAAGTCTTAAAAAGGAGCCACAGCGGGTCAGTTTGTCGTTCATCTATTTTTGTTGTTCCTTCAGGAACAAATACTACCTATTTATTTTTTTTTAGAGGGCACGGTAACGAATCCTGCAATCTGATCGGTTCTTTACCCGGTCAGTATTTTCCTATCTCTGCTCACGGGTCACGGTAACGCTTTCGTGAATCGCCGAGTACATCCCAAATTTCGTTGCCATTTTTAATAAATATCCCTCGTTTTTTCCGGCTGGGCATTATTTTTAAGTAAACACGCCGGTTGCTACCTCAAGCCGATAAATAACTTATGAATCCTCTCTTTTCTCTCTCTCAAATTACTTTGGTTGACAGAAAAATATTGGTTTCAGAATGAACTTGTGTAAGGAATAGTGTCATTACGTCGGTTGACAAGCGGTCTAAAACCCGTCTGCAATTAATTTTAATCGTTTAGAAAAAGTACCTGGAAAGGTAAAACGTGAGGTATTTGGTCACAGTTGAACTGAACGATAGAACTTTCATTCATTTAATATCGAATTTTCTCCGACAATTTGTTCGTAGTGAAAGAGCGAGCGAAGTTTTAAATCTAGTTCTACATCAAGTCTTTCCGAGTCCGTTCAATTTGGACATTTATACCCTAAATTGCACAACAGAAACTGAAGGAATTTATTGAAAAAAGGCCGCATTAAATCCCTTTGTGTCTCGTTGGAGTGTGCCATTCGAATTTAGTTTTTGTGGAGGAAAGCAAACAAACGAGCAAACTCTCACAACTTCAAAATAAAAAATTTGAATTTACTCACAATTACTTTCCTCGCCGTTTAATTAATGAACAGAAGTAAATCTTCGTATATGAAGGAATTGTCGATGAGAGTGAATAACACTTTAACAAATATTCTTGCGCTTTTTTTTTCTTGCGCGCTCTCTAATTGACAAGTGTCAGATTGTGACAGATAGTTGTAAAAATAATGTTTCACAGTCTGTTTGGAAGCCTTTTAAATCACCTTTATCCTTACGCAAATGAAAATGTTTCGGTGAGGCATCTCTCTTTAAGTTGCATCACCTCCATTTTAACTACCATTTACTCTCTCAAAAATTGTTCAGTTTATGGAAGATCTTGCCGTATCTACAGTCCTAAATAATTTTGGTTCTCTTGGAGAATTTCGTCAAGTTTAAAAAAAATAAATGTATTTTCAAGACCTCGATCACAGTTTTTCACAATACGAACCTCCCAGCCGGCAAATAACATGTATTTATGATATTATTCGTCCATCCATCCATCCATTTATCTAGTGCGAATTTGTTTGTTTTTTGTTTGTTTGTTTGTTTTTCTTTTGGAAGGGGGAGGAGAGGGAGAGATTTTACATCTTATTTGCCTTATCCTTGCCAACTTGCCCTTCATCTCCAACGCCATCATAATGCCCTCCCCAACTCCCTATCCTTATGAAATGATGCAGGGATAAAACACCTATTTTATCAAAGCATTTCCCTCTATCGCTGAAGGTCTGTTTTTTTAGATGTAGGTATCAATACGATGGTTTTATTACTTATAGTTTAATTTTCGAATATTTGCCGCTGAAAGTATTCTCATGAATTTGCGTGGTCTCTTGCTAAAAGATACCTGAAGCAGTCTATTGCAGTTAAAATCTCTGTCACAGGACCAAATTTATTATCGGATGTTGGGTACGGTCAAGCATATTCTTTAGAATTTAACGTTTTTACTCGCGTAATTATCAGTTTCAGATCATAGTTACCAGTGTCCTGAGAGTTACGGAGAGTTGAAACTTAAAGGGGTACAAGACACCTGTCAGCGAATTGAAAACGGAACCGATCCGCCTTGGTTAAGAATCAACTCCCATTTTCTATGTCGTCGGTACTGTATCCTGACATGGTGCAGAGACTTCGCTTTTTGTCTCAAGCAATCCGTTTACTGGCGAGAAGAATGCACTCGGGGGATTCTTAAACTCATTTGGGGAGGTCGTTCTATAAATATAAAGGTGGAGTCTGTAAGCAATGGCCCATCATATAGCTTTGACGTCCAAAGATGTTACAAGCGCTCAGGATGGCCAATTTACATAAATATAAGGTTATTAGATGGCACAGTGCAAGGAAATGGTATGTATAAGATTCCCTTTCTTTATATAATGAAATAATTTATTATCTATTCTCTTATCCATTTTATCCTTAAAAGCACCAGTCTCTCTGTTCACCCGATAATACCTTCATTCCTTCGTTCATGTGAGAATTAATTGTTTGAACCACTCATTTAACAATTTCGTGTTTTCCACACTCTTTCATTGACTCATTTATTCATTTATTTGACTCAGCTATTTATTGCTCTTATCTATTCAAGTTAGTGACTTATTACCTTTTCGCGTATATTAATATGTGTCCTTTCCACACAGGTGCTAAGCCAGAAGTGGAAAACTTCCGTAAGGAGGTATTGTATTTATATTCCCTTTTATTTTGTTGTTTTTCTTCATGTTTTACAGTAAATCACTTTTGTGACCACTAAGTTAGTTTCTGCTCTATGTATTCATTAATTACATCATTATTTGATCATCAAACGTATTTCCGACGAACCAATTGAAATTTCACTCATAAAAAATAGTATTTGCTTTGTTGATTTCATTGGGTCAATAAAAAATTGATCTTAATGGCTCGTTGCGCATCCTGACCTAACATATATGATAAGTGATAAAATAACACTATGATATTAGTATGGTTTACCAATTATTTCTTTGAATTAAACCACTTCACCGTTTGCGTAGGATATCTTCAATTCTTTAAACACCAATCTTCAGCGTCTTACAAAAGAGATACGCAACAAAAGTCAACCAAAGCAGGAAGAGAAAATGGACGTCTTTCTTGAATTGACCTCTTTGGAGACATCCCTGTTGGAATACGGACAGTATAACCTCAATCGCACATCAAGTGAATTTAATATGAGCAGCATACACATGGGTAAAGCACTTTCTAAATATTATAAGTACATTCGACATCATAGTCCTTCCGGTTCAAGAGATGGCGATGGAAAAGCGTTCATCGCACAACATAGCCTCACCACAGCATCCTGAGGCAATAAATCTGTAATGCACTAAACTAATTATCACTGTTCTATTCTTTAACCCCCTCGAATTTTGATTAAAAAAAAAACTGATTATTTTGTCCTCCTTAAAAAGCTTTAAGGAACTTTTCTCGCTCATTGACATTATACTCACTTTGTTTTTAAATCGATCTTTCTATTTTTATCATTGTTCTTATTATTAGTGGTGGTAGTACTATTCTTACTATATATTATTATAATTATTTTTATTCTTTTCTCCAAGATGTTCTTGTCAGGAAAACCTTCTACCAAAACCACAGCCACCACTTTCGCCTGGATGAACCTACGGGAAAAAATCTCCTAATCATTCCATCGGCAAACTTGGACAACGGTTTGAAAATTTAATTTTTTTAATGTGCGGTGTTTAGACGATTTGTTCTTTTATCGATCCATTCACTTATGTGTTCGTTTCGATTTTTTAGTTGATATAGCACAATTTTCCACAATTCGTAAAATTGTTACATTTTTATCTCTTTCCCAGGTTCAGTGATACTGGGAGTGATATACAAAGACCTCCATCAACTATTTATTAGAAACCAACCAGAGAACAGTACCCTGAACAATTCAAGGTCTCCCAGCGATTTGAATTATACGTATATTTCACATCTTTGAATACATCAACGCTTAATTAATTCCTTCAAGCTGAAAACTGGAGGGTTTTAATCTTGCTTGGAAGTGTACATTTAAAGTTTTAATAATTCTGACTTTAACTGCTCCGAAATAGGGAAGTCAACTCCATGATTATGGCTGCCACAATAATTCCTTCGCCCACGAGACTACGGGAAAATATAACTTTGAAGTTCAAAAACATGAAGGTAGCATGACATATGATTTTCTTTTCATGAAAATTTTTACTATACCGTGTCTTTTCTGGTTGAGATTGAGTCGCTGTCTGAAATGAAAATCGCTTATTTTTAGCCTAGCCGCGTTGCTTATGAATTCAAATTTCGTTAGATTTCGATATATAGTCCACTTAACAAATAGAGAATCCTTGACTGTGCTCTGTTCTGTTATAAAGCACGCAGGAAGCGGCTAGAGCACGAAAGAAGTGTAGGGAGAAACACGAGACGTAGTCGAGTGTTTCTTCCCACTTCTTGAGTGCTATAGCCGCTTCCTAAGTGCTTTATAACAGAACAGAGCACAGTCAAGGCTTCTCTATTTGTTTTATAATAAAGAATCCGTTAAATTCCCCAAGCATTACTTTCAATTTTCAAAACAAACTTTATATCCAAAGCGAACAACAATGTCGTCAGCATGCTCTATACTCTCATAAAGCACGCTACAATAAGCCAATCAGAATCCTTGTTAGAATGGTTCAAATAATCTGATTGGCTGTACAAGACTAAAGCTGTCAAAAGTGTCAAACCATCAAAGTTCAAAAACCATCAAAGTTCACATCCTACGATAGTTTACAAACTAAAATAGTTCGGCAAGTCGAATTTAACACTTTTGCCTGAAGTTTTTAAGTCTCTAATACAGAATCTCGAAGTGAAATGTTCAGTGAAATTCAGCCGAATTATGGCTCATAAAAACACGCGAGTTTTTTCCACATGACAAGGTAGAAAACAAGCTGTTCAAGGCGAATTCACCGGAACATGAAGATAGCTCGTGATGACAGCGCTGCAAAACTCGGCTGCAGTGACTGATGTGAATTGCCACTCAACGTATCGGAAAGGATATCAGAGCAAGCTCTTATTTTTTCACTCGAAGGGCGGCCGATGTAGTTTCTGAGGCTTGCTTTACTGTGATGACCGGAGATCGCCATGATGAGCGAGCCGCGATGAACTTCGGCATGATCATATTCGCTCAGACACCGTCATGATTAGTATGAATTTTAACAATTATGCAGTTTGGTTATATTTTTCATCATTTCTGTTTTGTTCTGTTTTGTTTTTGAACACTGAACTTTATATACTATACGAGTGTTAGCCGTGTTTGATTTTTATTACCATACGTAAGCTTGCAATCTAACTGAGCATGAAAATCTTTAAAACTCGGAATGTTTATTTTGTTTTTCCTTTGAGGATTTTCGTATCTGCTCACGTTTTAATAACGTATATTACGGCGCCTGGTATGTTTACAAACCTTTGTTTGATTCTTCTGTTGCTACTTGCCGGCTCGCTTCAGTTCCGAAATTTCACTTTCAATTATCGGGAAAAAGCTAAAAAGAAGTCCCGAAAAAGGTCGAACATAGTACGATTGGCAGATGGGGTGACAGCTTTAGCTCAGTTCTATGCTCTATACTCTTATAGAGCACGCTCTTTCAACCAATGACAGCGCGCGTTATATACGAACTTTATTGTAAAATGCGTTATGTTATGTATCTTTCATGAATTATGTTTTTTTGCTATTATTTCCATTA